GCCATCTTGAATCAGATTCTAAACAAAAAATAATATGCACCTGCAATCCAATATGTATTATTAGCAAGTTGAAAATAGCATGTTTTACCAAAAATGACAATAATCGCCAAAAATAGAGAATTAAAGATATTGTCACTAAAGGTAGCTACACACCAAGTATCAAAACAATTAACAGTTAACAGACATCAGTCATAATGATACATGACTTTGTCCAAACATAAATTAAAAACTTCAGACTTTCAAATAGTCAGCTATTTAAGAATTTTTTATCAAAATCAAGTTTAACTGGGTCACTTCTCAAATTGTTTGGTAGCGCCATAAAACCATAAAATACATTACATTATCAAATAAATCATTCTTATTCTACGCTAAACACATTATATGATAGGAACTATATGGTGTAAACATTCTTATTGTACGTTAAACACATTATATGATAGGAATTATATGGTGTAAACATTCTTATTGTACGTTAAACACATTATATGATAGGAATATATGGTGTAAACATCATGACTTTTGCTTCACCTCTGTTAGGAGTAGATAAATTTAAAGAGGTATGACTCACAGCACAGATGGAAAGATAAATTCAGATTTTGTATCTGAAAAGGAACAAGTGATCTGGAAATCCTGATACATTCTGCAAATTCACTATAATAAGAATTTCTAAAGTATTTTCTAAAACGCAAGCAACTGTTCAAAAAGTGAAGTTCAAAAACAGATTCACATAGAAAAAATGTAGGTACTTTAGGGCCAGAAAGTGACAGAATATACAACCTTCATGGGCCAGGATGTACGACCTTCAGGGGTCAGAAAGTGCCAGGATGTATGACCTTCAGGGGTCAGAAAGTGCCAGGATGTACGACCTTCAGGGGTCAGAAAGTGCCAGGATGTACGACCTTCAGGGGTCAGAAAGTGCCAGGATGTACACCTTCAGCGGCCAGAAAGTGCCAGGATGTACGACCTTCAGGGATCAGAAAGTGCCAGGATGTATGACCTTTAGAGGTTAGAAAGTGCCAAACAGGGATTGCGTTAACCCCATATTTTGCTTCCCGGACTCCAATTATTGAAGAAGGACCCAGTTTTTCAGGCAAGCTGGAGTCCAATGTCTAATAAATTGATCCAGGGTCAAATTTCAATTTCTTAACTTTTTTTAAATGGGACTCGTCTTGTCGAGACACTAGCGCAAACCCTGCAAGATGTATGACAATCAGGGGTCAGAAAGTGCCAGGATGTACAACCTTCAGGGGTCAGAAAGTGCCAGGATTTAAGACAATCAGGGCCAGAAAGTGCCAGGATGTATGACCTTCAGGGGTCATAAAGTGCCAGGATGTATGACAATCAGGGGTCAGAAAGTACCAGGATGTACAACCTTCAGGGGTCAGAGAGTGCCAGGATATATGACCTTCAGGGGTCAGAAAGTGCCAGGATGTAAGATCTTCAGAGGTCAGAAAGTGCCAAGATGTATGACAATCAGGGGTCAGAAAGTGCCAGGATGTACAACCTTCGGAGGTCAGAAAGTGCCAGGATGTACAACCTTCAGGGGTCAGAAAGTGCCAGGATGTACAACCTTCAGGGGTCAGAAAGTGCCAGGATTTAAGACAATCAGGGCCAGAAAGTGCCAGGATGTATGACCTTCAGAGGTTAGAAAGTGCCAAGATGTATGACAATCAGGGGTCAGAAAGTGCCAGGATGTACAACCTTCATGGGTCAGAAAGTGCCAGGATGTACAACCTTCAGGGGTCAGAAAGTGCCAGGATTTAAGACAATCAGGGCCAGAAAGTGCCAGGATGTATGACCTTCAGGGGTCAGAAAGTGCCAGGATGTATGACAATCAGGGGTTAGAAACTACCAGGATGTACGACCTTCAGGGGTCAGAAAGTGTCAGGATGTACAACCTTCAGGGGTCAGAAAGTGTCAGGATGTACAACCTTCAGGGGCCAGAAAGTGCCAGGATGTACAACCTTCAGGGGCCAGAAAGTGCCAGGATGTACGACCTTCAGGGATCAGAAAGTGCCAGGATATACGACCTTCAGAGGTTAGAAAGTGCCAAGATGTATGACAATCAGGGGTCAGAAAGTGCCAGGATGTATGACAATCAGGGGTCAGAAAGTGCCAGGATATACAACCTTCAGAGGTCAGAAAGTGCCAGGATGTACAACCTTCAGAGGTCAGAAAGTGCCAGGATGTACAACCTTCAGAGGTCAGAAAGTGCCAGGATGTACAACCTTCAGGGGTCAGAAAGTGCCAGGATTTAAGACAATCAGGGCCAGAAAGTGCCAGGATGTATGACCTTCAGGGGTCATAAAGTCCCAGGATGTATGACAATCAGGGGTCAGAAAGTACCAGGATGTACAACCTTCAGGGGTCAGAAAGTGCCAGGATATATGACCTTCAGGGGTCAGAAAGTGCCAGGATGTAAGATCTTCAGAGGTCAGAAAGGGCCAAGATGTATGACAATCAGGGGTCAGAAAGTGCCAGGATGTACAACCTTCAGGGGTCAGAAAGTGCCAGGATGTACAACCTTCAGGGGTCAGAAAGTGCCAGGATGTACAACCTTCAGGGGTCAGAAAGTGCCAGGATTTAAGACAATCAGGGCCAGAAAGTGCCAGGATGTATGACCTTCAGAGGTTAGAAAGTGCCAAGATGTATGACAATCAGGGGTCAGAAAGTGCCAGGATGTACAACCTTCAGGGGTCAGAAAGTGCCAGGATTTAAGACAATCAGGGCCAGAAAGTGCCAGGATGTATGACCTTCAGAGGTTAGAAAGTGCCAGGATGTATGACCTTCATGGGCCAGAAAGTGACAGGATATATGACCTTCAGGGGTCAGAAAGTGCCAGGATGTATGACCTTCAGAGGTTAGAAAGTGCCAGGATGTACAACCTTCAAGGGTCAGAAAGTGCCAGGATTTAAGACAATCAGGGCCAGAAAGTGCCAGGATGTATGACCTTCAGAGGTTAGAAAGTGCCAAGATGTATGACAATCTGGGGTCAGAAAGTGCCAGGATGTACAACCTTCAGGGGTCAGAAAGTGCCAGGATGTACAACCTTCAGGGGTCAGAAAGTGCCAGGATTTAAGACAATCAGGGCCAGAAAGTGCCAGGATGTATGACCTTCAGGGGTCAGAAAGTGCCAGGATGTACGACCTTCAGGGGTCAGAAAGTGCCAGGATGTACAACCTTCAGGGGCCAGAAAGTGCCAGGATGTACGACCTTCAGGGATCAGAAAGTGCCAGGATATATGACCTTCAGAGATTAGAAAGTGCCAAGATGTATGACAATCAGGGGTCAGAAAGTGCCAGGATGTACAACCTTCGGAGGTCAGAAAGTGCCAGGATGTACAACCTTCAGGGGTCAGAAAGTGCCAGGATGTACAACCTTCAGGGGTCAGAAAGTGCCAGGATGTACAACCTTCAGGGGTCAGAAAGT